TTGTAGTCATTCGACTTTTTCACATTTTTCTCAGCCAAACAGTGATCTAATTGAAATAAAAAATATATATTCGTGATCAGTTTTTCAAGCTCTATCAAACCATATATAAATGAACGAAAAAAAAATTTTACTGAAATTTTGCATGGTCGCTACCTTACGTATACTTCGCGTCTATAGAAACACCTGTCTATGATTAAACCGAATTAAAAAATGTATTTTTTCAGATGAAACTAATTGATCTTATTCATTAAAGAGTTTTTCATAACATATAGTTTCGAAAAAATAGGGATTGTAAGATTTAGGGCGAAGTTGTCTGCTTTCGGTCTCCACATGACAGACTTATCAAGGCTTCGCTTTGTCCTTTTTCCTCAGTTGCATTACCAGTATGAGCAATCACAAATAGAGAAGTAAATAGATATAATGCTATGGTGTTAACTGCTTAAGAATAGTCTGCAGTCTCTTCAATGAAAGGAACCCACCGGATAAGGGTGGAAATCTGCCACCTTTTAGAATTGACTAAAAGTCATATATTCTGGAAGCCCGTTTTGCGGCACACATTTTCGTATATTTTCTGTTTTCATAAGAAGCTTCTTATGGGATACCAGTAAATGTTTTTGTGAACACCTCTATTACGAATTTTAGCGATTTTTAGGAGTTTAAGGTAAGTTTAAAAATCTATAGTTTTAGTTCCAAAAATGTCACTTCAAAGTTTATCAAATGCCACCAATAGATGCAGTAAAATATGCTCTACAAAATGATATAAATACATCAATAATAAGATTGTCTCATTAGGAGGGATAATATCCATAAATATGAGATGATTGATGAAAAATTCGAGTTTTAGTCTATTTTTGCTAAAATTGCTTACTAATTTCAAACTGTTTTTATTCTTATTATCCATTTAGACAAAAAAGAAAATACTATAGAAAACTTCCTCGTGATTCGCTCTACAAAATGAGATGAAATTGACCGGAATTTAAATAGTCTCGAAATTCAATATTCGATAATTACTATTGAGCATGCCATTATTTTACTTTTATATCAATACTTTTTTTTTTTAACGACCCGTAGATATTCTGCCAGCTATTCTAGCTTATACTTAGGGTTATCCAAAAGTAGTGGCCAAGGTTCTTTTTTTATCTTATTGAAAGCCTGAAAAAATTTTCTTTTTTTATGAATAGATAGAGCTTCTTTCGCTCTATCTTTCTATGCTATTTGATCACTATTAAACTAATATTATAGTGATAAAATTTCGATAAGAACTATTTTTGTTAAAGACCAGTTGGTAACATTTAGATCATAATAAGTATTGTATAAAAAATGGAACACTTTTGCATTTCATTTTATTATCACTCAATATTTTGTATTAAAATAAACAAAATGTACCAGAAGATGCAGCGTGAAAAGTTCTTCAATATAAGAAGTACCGGTTATTTTATAGTTGTACTTTTTGTTTTAAAAATGGACAAAACTCTGAGTTGCCAAAGTTCGGCGTCATGAAAATGAGACTTTTTTGGTAAAAAAAAACGAATTCGGTTTTTTTGTATCTTATCTTTGCACAGTTGTTCTTTGTAAATTGTAGAGTTCTTCGAACTGCATCTTGCAGTGTATTTTGCTTTTTTCAAATAAAGCATATCAAGTAATAAAAAGATGAGACAGGAAAAACGGAGTTCATCTTTTACCAAAAAAAAATCTCGTGTTTCACAATGTCGAAATTTGGCAGCTCAGAGTTTTGTCCATTTTTGAAACCAAAAGTACAATTATAAAATAAGCGGTACTTATATTGTAGAGCTTTTTACGCTGCATCTTCTGGTATACTTTGTTTTTTCAATACAACATATTATGTGATAATAAAGTGGAATGCAAAAATACCACACCCATTATGATCTAATGCTACCAGCTAGTTTTCAACAAAAATAGTTCTTATCAAAATTTTATTATTATGATATTAGTTTAGTAGTGATCAAATAGCATAGAAAGATAGAGCGAAAGACGCTCCATCTATTCATCAAAAAAAGAAAATTTTTTCAGGCTTTCAATAAGAAAAAAAAGACCTTGGCCACTTCTTTTGGATAACCCTAAGTATTTTTTTATAGAAATTCTTTTAATTGAAATTATCATAGATAATTCCATATCAAAAATGACTTGAAACTAATATTGATGATGTTAAAGAATTATTAAACAAATTAATTGTTGTTAAATAAAATGGTGGTCTTGGTACAACAATGGGTTGTCAAGGATCGAAAAGTGTTATTTCTATACGAAGCGGACTGACTTTTCTTGATGTAACCATTCAACAACTTGAAGTAAATCATTTTAAATTTTTTAAATATATATAAATAATGTATTTATTTATTTTTTGTTTAGCAATTGAATCGTACCTATGGTTATAATGTGCCATTAGTTTTAATGAATTCATTTAATATACATGAAGAAACAGAAAAAATTCTTCAAAAATATAGTCATGTTTCTGTTAAAATTTATAATTTTAATGAATCAAAGTAAGTTCGTCTGAATAATCCAATTAAATACTTTTCTACAGAATCAGATTTAAAAAAATTTTTTAATTACTTTCATTTTAAGAAAATAAAACTAATATCATGTTAAGTAATTATCCGATTAAATCTATCTAACTACCACCGATAAAATGAATGCAATATTTGATTATGGGCCCCTTTCCCCGTCTCAAAAAAGTTACTTTTCGTCAGAGTAGTCAAGATTGAGATAATCTGTCATTTGCTCAAAATTTTTCTTCAATCAGTTTTCAACATTTCTGACAAAAACTCAAAAAATCTTTTTCGTTTTTTTCTCAAAATGGTGATCAAATGATGCATCTTTAGCGAAAGTCAAATATTCTTTTTTGTTTTTGTGGGTGTGGATGGGGGTATGGGTGTGGGTGTGGGTGCGGGTGTGGGTGTGAGTGCGGGTTAATCTACAGCCACACCCTCACCCACACCCACACCCACACACACCCACACCCACTTGAGGACCCAAACGTATCCCCCAATACTAGGACTTGAGGACCTAAGGGTGCCCTCCAATAGTAGGACTTTAGGACCCAAAAGGTATACCCCAATAGTAGGACTTCAGGAGCCAAAGGTATCCCCCAATAGTAGTACTTGAGGACCCAAAGGTATCCCCCAACAGTAGGACTTGAAGACCCAAGGGGATCCTTCAAGAGTAGCACTTGAGAACCTATGGGCATCTCCGAGAAGTAGGGTCGTTACCCCGTTCCCCTGTAACTGGTAACGGGCCGTTACCGTTCCCGGGTAACTGGGAACGGTAACGATAACCTCCCACCCCTACCCACATCATACCTTCACACCATATTCACTGAATCGAATTGGTACCTTTAGATATGCTGAATCCGCTCAAAGTCTTCAAACAACCCGATAAGCCTTGAATAAACTTCATATGCGTCGTCTTACGGTTCGGATGTACTTTCACCTTTAATTTAGTGTCGGTTATGCGTGTGGGTGCCGTTCCTCTCTATACTTACACCCACATCCGACCCACACTCCCACATCCACGCCCGACCCACACAGCCACATCCACACCCTAACCCACACACCATAACTCACACACCCTTATCTTCATTCACAGCCGACACTGATACAGGCAACCACATTTCCACCTGCTCATGCATTCTACGGTGCTTACTTTCTCTCGTTTTACCGTATGTGTAGTCTTTTTTTTTGTCCACTGGTAGTATGTTGATGCTCTCTCCGATCGCGCCGTGAACACTGTATTGATTGTGTACATGAATAGCGTTGAAATAGAAATGGCCTCGATCGAACTCTAGGTAAATGGAGTTAAGCCTGAGGGTGTTTTTATTGTCGCTTTCTGTTTTGTTCTCATTACTGTGCTTTGGTTTCTATTTCACTTCAAGTAGATTCGCGCTGTGTTTGATTGCGACTGCAGCGTCTCACAAGTTGTACACATTTGTCGCCTATATATAGAGAAGCTCGATACTTCATCCAGTGCCCATTTGAAGAAAGCACTGAGCATGATTTCCGATTCGTTCCTTTTGTTTTGGTTGAACATGTCTGGTCGGATGCGTGGCTCGTGAAGACTTGTTTTTTTCGCAAATTGTATTCCGTAAGTGGTTCATAGGCAGTTAGCGTGCCCCATTAGTTAGAGTTTATGAGGTGCATGAGTCGTCAGCTTCGTTGAATGACTTACATGAAGTTCTCAGTTTGCGTATGGTTGTGCTGCTGTTAAGATGAATTAGTTTACTCAGAACCGCAGCTCTTGAAGAAATATCTGCGATGGTTTGTGTAGAACTACCCTTTCAATGAGAGAGATTCAGTTAGAAGAGTTTCGCAGCTTGTTAAACATTGTCATGTGTTCTCGCGGTATTATTGCTTTTTATGATCCGTAAGATAGTTTTAACGTCGTCTGTATTAATTTTTTACCATTTCTGGTACCAATATGTTTACCAAGTATTTTCCACAAAATTGTTAACATCGCTATTCTATTTCAGATATCTCACTCATATCGGAAGTGAATCTTTAAATAGTCTTTTGAATTCTTAATTGCATTGCACGTAATCCCTTTAAAACAGGTATAAACTGTCGCATAATTTGGCATCTTCCATATTCAAGTAAGTTCTTCTTTGGCACTAAGAACTGTGTTAACTATATCTGAAGAGAGTATTGTAAAGTTCATAGGATAGGGCATTATTTTTATCTTGGAGCAGTGCTCCACTGACAATACTTAGTTATTGATAGAAATATTAGTGAATCCTATTCAACCACTTTCCTCATTTCATATGCACTGCAATGCACGGATTTTCTAAGCGTGTTGTTAAAAACTATTAGCTTTCGTTCGCTTCTCTGACAAGAACACATAGCGATACCGAAAAAGGCTTTACTAACTATGGACTGCTACAACAATGCAATTAAAAGACTCTATGGGTGCAGCTGTGAGTGTGAGTATGTATGGGAGTCGATGTGGATATGGTCTTTATATATACCCACACCCAGACACCCACACCCGCACACCCACACCCACACCCACACACCCACACCCACACACCCACACCCACACCCATTACACTGATTCGAGTAAGTGCCCTTACACACATCAGAACGGCTTCTTTTAATGAATGTAATGCTCTTCGCCGAAAACAAGATCGTCGAAGAGCATACTTATCCTTTTAATGACATATAATATTGATCAAACTTTATCTCAAGATAAAATACTTTAATTCCTATCATTAGATAACCCATCTTCAATAGTATACATGGTGAAAGAATCTCAGCAATAACTCTTATAGATCTTGAGAAAATCAACCTATACTAAAAAGTGCTGCATTAAAAAATTGATAAATTTTTTAAAAGTAGCAGTAGCTTTGAGTCGTATATCTCGAGAACGGTTAATCTGTTTGAGTTGAAACTTTCAGATTATTACTAACTTGGCAAGAGCTATTTACTGTAAAAATAAGAACAAAATAGGTTGAATCGATTGAGCAAGGGTGGTCGTCGCATAGGTGCAATGCCTCTTAGGGAGATTTCATGATGTTTCGTCAGCGAGGGCGACTGAATAAGCCCGATCGAAGACAAAGGAAAAAAAATTTCTTCTTTATTCATCAAGAGTAGTTCACAATTTCATTTTTAGAATTCGAATACTCTCTCTCAAATCTTGAAGAATAGGATGATTCAAAGGTAGTGAAAGTTGTGCAATTCTTAGACCACGTTCATAAAAGGAGAGTGCTTTCGAGTACTCTCCCATGTGTTCATATACCGAAGCAATGTTGCTACATGAAGTAACCAAAGTAGGATGATTTGGAGAAAGAGTTTTTTCAAAAATTTCAAGTGATATTTCGAAAAACGAAAGTGAAGTCATGTACTCTCGCATGTTTAGATACACTTGACCAATATTGTTGTGAGAAGTAGCCAAATCAGGATGATTTGAACGAAGAGCTGTTTGTTGAATTTCAAGTGCTATTTCGTGAAACGAAAGTGCTTTCGAGTACTCTTTAATGTTGTTATACAATCCACCGATGTTGTTGTAGGAAACAGCCAATGAAGGATGATTAGGAGGAAGAGTTTTTTTTAAGATTTCATGCGCTTTTTCGTAAAATTGAAGCGCTTTTGAGTACTCTTTCATGGTGTGATATATTCCACCAATACCGCTATAGGAAGTAGCCAATAAGGGATGATTTGGAAGAAGAATTTTTTCAAAGATTTCAAGTGATATTTCGAAAAAGGAAAGTGCGGTTGAGTACTCTCCTAGATTATAATGCACCAAACCGATATTGTTGTAGGATTGAGCCAAATGGAGATGATTTGGAGGAAGAGATATTTGCTGAATTTCAAGTGCTTTTTCGTACAATGAAAGTGCTCTTGGGTACTCCCCCAGGTTGTCATACACGGAAGCAAGGTTGTAGTAAGAAGTGGCCAACAAAGGATGACTTGGAGGAAGAGCTTCCTGTTTAATTTCGAGTGCTTTTTCGTAATACCAAATAGCTTTTTCATAATTACCTTGGTGGCTTTTGATATATCCAAGCTGATGAAAATAATGGGCTTTGTCACTGTCATAAGCCGCTTGCTCTAGCAATACTTGATACAATTCTTCTGCTTTGTCAAATTGACCAATTCTGAGCAGTAAGTTACCCAATCGTGCCCATTGTGTGGGACCCATAGCCTCCTGTCGAATACGGCTGGTTAATGCAGAAAGTTGTTGATCATTATCAGATGTTAGTTTAAGTTCGACTTGATAAAGTGAACTGGTGTTGTCCATTTTTCTAATTCCACCCACACGAAAGACGGTGTGCATGGAGAAAAGAATTTCTTCTTCCGTCTTATAATAACTAATCTCCTGGATGGAAGCGAATGGTGCCGACGAGGCAGATGGGTCAATAGACATTTGAAAAAGAACGCCGACCATATCGATGTTTCCTAGGACACTTTCAGCATATTCGAGAGAAACTTCTCGCTTCTTCGTGGTGGACAGAAAATTGTTGAAGGACATAAGTCCACCTTTTGTTTTCATAAGTTTTTCAAAGTCATTTTTTGACAAACCTTGCCCACGATAAACAGTGAAGGGCTCTTTATTATAACTTCCGATCTGTTGTCGATGCAGTCCTTCGAGTTGATGATGCAGATCACAAATAAAGAAGCCCATCTTAATAATGGTCTCGGCTTCCATTGTTCGAAGTGCGCAGTTTAACAAAGAATAGATGAATGATGGAAAAGTGTACCACCAGATAGCTAAATCACTATGATATTCGCTTTCGAACCGATCAATATTATGTGGCGATCCGTAGTCACCCTTTCGGCAATAGGTGGTAAAATCCTTGATCCTTTGTCGATCATATTCCATTTCCAATAAGATTTCTTTGAATATCTGTGTATACATAAAGGAAGGCTCTAGTTGGTCCAGATTTTGTATAGAATTTGCTTCACCTACTGTGACGAAGCTCATAGCGATAGCATTTTGATTACACTGTTTCACCGCCATTTGCATGGCTTCGCAGATAGTTGTGATTTCCATATATACGCCCTTCACTTTTAGAAACTTTGATACCCACCCTTCATGTTGAGGTTTATTGTCACAAAGAATGTAGATTGCATTCAATTGGGGAATGTCATGAATAAGAGGTACTATTTGTTGACCAATAATGCTTTCTACAATCAAGAAGACTTTTAGATCATCGAATTCAGTCAGGAAATCGACACATTCATCAGGTTGGTTGAAAATATTGACATCAATGCCCACAGCACGTAGTTGTGTCATAATACCGTAGCAACCTGTTATCGACTGGTCGATATTGGCATCTAGCCAGATAAGTAAGAAATTTTGAGTCATGCGATGTCTTGGATACGTAGTATTAGATGATGCTATTGTAGTGGTCACAGCTGCCTTTGATGATGCAGATATGTTCTGCTTTGATTGTTGGCTGCTCATGTTGCTATGGATGATTCGTTACTTGTCAGTATAGAATTGTGAATATACGGCTGTTGTTTAGACAGACACCATTCTCTCTCTATATACAGGGTGTCTGGAAAGTAGCTCCCTATTTTAAATTCTTCTTTTTTATTCAATAACAAGAAATATTTTCTTTTTCTTTTTTATTATTTTGAAGCATGCTTCATAAGGTTTATTTTTAGATAAGAACGAATATTAGTGGAGTGACTATTGAAGATGAAATACAACTTCTTTCTAAAAAGTGCTAAAAATAGCTTCTTAGTTTTTATGTTGTATTTCTTTTAGGAAGTGGCTATGCACACTCGAGTGTACATAGCCACTTCCTTTCTTTTATATGAAAATCAGTACTCTAACAAATTTTTTATGGTTGTAAACTGTAATACCGTCATGAATATTAGGAGTTCTGCCACGTTTGAACTCGTTCTTTCATGTAGTTGTATTATAGTTCCTCTTTTTGCTTGTATATCTGATACAGGCTTGATACGTGAAAATGTATGACAGGAATATGTTCGTTTTATGAATGTGGTATTTGATGTATGAATGTGATAATAAAGGAATCGAAGGAAAGCATATAAAATAGCCTCACGAGTGTTACTGTATTTCAAATAAGTTAACATGGCTAAACATTTAACTGTACAAAATCGAGCACGAATCGCTTCGAGATATGAAATTTTGCAATTCGTAGTTGTGGTGCAAAGGCGGTGGAGATCTGAACGTCGCGTGAATGCGACACTTAACGCAAAGACTATCAAAAACTGTCATCAAAAGTTAATGACAACTGGTTCTGTATTCGGTTTCGAGCGCTCTGGAAGACCATCAATTTCTCATATGGTGTCAGTTGTCGATTTAGTTCAAGCAAGGGGGTAAGTGCAGCACCTAAGTATCAGATTTTGCTTCAAGGTGCTGAAAGATTGCTCAGGTGCTCAAAAGATGCTGAAAAGGTGCTGAGGTGTCGAGAAGGTGCTGAGCAGGTACCGAGTTATTGAAAAAGTGTTGATAAATTTTTTAAAGTAAGGTAAAAATTGAGATAGTAATATATAAAAACCTGATGGTGCTTTCTTCGTTGCACATTGTTATATTATTCCCTTGACTGTAGTCAGCATCCTAATCCCGAAATTGACTGTGTGTTTGCGTGTTTGTCCGCAGGCACTGTTAGGTCCAATGTCACAGCAGAAACAAATCGTTTTCGGGGCACCCTTAGGTCTTTAAGTGCTATATAATGCGGGTACCTATAGGCCCTCAAGTACTACATATTAGACGTACCCTTGGATCCTCAAGTTCTATATTGAGAGGGTACCTTTAGGTTCTCAAGTACTATACTTTGGGGGTACTCTTAGGTCGTCAAGTCCTATATTGGAAGAGTACCTTCAGGTCGTCAAGTCCTATACTATGGGGGTACCTTTAAGCCCCCAAGTCCTATTATATGGGGCTACTCCTTAGGCCCTCAACTCCTATTATATATGGATATCCTTAGGTCCCCAAGTCCTATTGAATAGCGGTATGGGTATAACAATAGCAATACCAGGCAATAGCAATTGGTATTGATATTGGCTGGTATCGGTATTTGTGTAGGGGCTCTTGATATCGCACGTCAAACATCAATACTTTGAAAAAAGAACAATGGATTCGAACTCTTCGATGCTTAGAGCCTTTGAACAAACTTTATTAGAAATCATTATTTTTGAAAAATAACCTTTTTTCAATCAAAGGAATCAAATTCGAAAATTTTGACAAACCAATTATAAATTCTTGATTTTTTCATCAAGAAATGCTTTATTTTACGAAAAAACGATTTTTAATAAAGTTTCATCGAAGGTTTTCGTGGTCAAGGAATCTAAATCCATTGTCAGTTTTTCAAAATATTGCTGTTTGACGTAAGGATATAAGCGTACCCATATAATATAGGACTTGAGGACCTTCTGGCACCCCTATAATATAGGACTTGAGGACCCGAGACCCCGCCATAAGATTGGCAGATGAAGATCCAATTCCCCCTCCTAGGATAGATAGGAGGACCCAGTCCGACTGGTGCCCAGTCTACTGGAACTGGTGCATCCCTAGTTATAGGCTTAATAAGTACAAGGACTCAGCGCCAAATATGCTATAAGGTGCTGGAAAAGTACTGAGATGTCAAAGGTACCAAATCTACACTTACTCCCTTGAGTTCAAGACATTTTTCACTCGTAATCCGGATATGTCAATTAGAAAGACCTCGCTAAAAAGCGGTTTTACTCGCCACATGATTCACTCTGTTTTGACAAAAGAGTTGCATTACCGTGCGTGGAAACCTCATTTTTGTGCAACAGATGTTTCCAGAGGATTGTGATATTCGCATGGAATTCAGTGAAATTATCATCGGTTGGAAGGACGATTGGTTCGAATAGTTTGAAAATATTTTGTGGTCCGATGAAGCTATTTTTTATGTTGGAGGGTTTGTTAAGCCTCTCCTCTCAAAATAAGATCGTTTACTGATTTTCACTTCGTCATCTTGCGAAAACTGGATCTCTGCCCTAAAACATTGTATAGAGCTGAAAATTTCAGTGCATACTTGGGATAAGTCATCTTCGTACCCCTAAGAATTTCAGCTCGATTCGCTGTACTTTGGCTAGAGATATAACAATTCTACTGCACATGTCTTTTTACATGAGATGGCTCTCAATATCTCCAGCGCTACTCCACCACAGTACAATATGAAGTCAAATATTTTTTTTTTAATTGAAAGCTCATGTCTAGGGTTAGCCTACCTCGTGGCCTCTTTTTTAAAATAAGCTTGTTTATTATCATATAACAAAATACCTTTATAAAAAAAGCACCATTTTTTGGCGGTTTTTTCAGTGATTGAACTTGTCATCCCTTCTTTTCGCTTAAAAAGTAAGAATTTTAAAAAGAGGGCCACGAGGTAGGCTAGCCCTAGAGACAAGCTTTTAAACAACAACAAAAAATTATATATATATATATAATGAGGATATACAGAGAATTTTTGGAGATTGAATAAGCTATTTTTTGACCCTTGTTTGGTTCATATTTCTGTCAAACGTCTGGGTATCTGACTGAAATTTTTACCACAGCCTCCTCACTTCAGCTCCAACTTATGCTCCAGATTTCAGCTCATTTGGACGTACCTGGGCTGAGATCAATTTTTGAGAGGAGGGGGAGGCCTTAATCGGCACAATTTTCATTATTGGAGTGATCACGATCTAGGTGTGACAATTGAAAAAGTCCAATCCCAGCCGAAAATCGTAGTTTGGTGTGGATTTACCTTGACCAAATTTATTGGTCCATACTTTCTGAGTGACAATATGAGCGGAGTGCTTTATTTAGAAACGTTAAAAGATTTGGTATGGCCTGAAATTTGTCGGTGGGAAAACAATGAAGAGCTTATTTTTATGCACGACGGTGCGCCTCCTCACTACACTGTTCCAGTTCGCAGTTGGCTGGACGACAAATTTCCTGGAGAATGGATCGGTCGACGAAAGCCTATGCAGTGGCCACCAAGGACCCCGGATCTAACCCCTTGTGGTTTTTTCTTAAAGGGTTGGGCAAAGGAAGAAGTTTACAAAACAAATTCGAAAAACCTGACAGAACTCAAAGAGCAAATTTGCAGTGTTCTCAACAACGTTCCGCAAGAGTTTTTGGAGAAGGCAGTGAAGAACATTGAAGTTCGACTGCAAAAGTGTATAGACAACGAAGGAGCTCATGTGGAAATTTCATATATATAATTGCGTAATACCATCACACATTTGGAAACAAGAAAAAAAACTATTAGAGTACTGATTTTCATATAAAAGAAATACTGCATAAAAACTAAGAAG